CTTTAAGGTTGCTGTGAACTCAAACCTTCAAAGCTATTGTGATGGTCAACAGAACAGGACCTTGGTGTGCTCGGCACAAGGTTAGCTCTAAATTTGTAAGTCTCCGGCCCCCTCCCTATTGGGTCTTCTCAGAAAACTCCAGTGCAGACTATACACCTTGGTTTCTACTTGACCTTGACCTTTAGAAGCTGCAGTGGGGGCAGAGGTGGTCTTTTGTCTCCCTGGTTCACGTACAGAACTTGGTAGTGATAGACGGTCATGAGCGACTGAATATACATCGGTAGATGAATGTGTAGCATCAGCTGGCCTAAGCTCTATGAGATTTAAAACTGTGTGGTCCAAGTCCACTGAGTAAACCTGACGGTTGAAGTAGGAGTGGGCAATAAGATGGATAAGATCCATCCTTCATCCTTAAATAATTCAACAACTGTTTCCTGATGTCCACCTTCTGTCAGACCTTGTGCTGGGCCCGGGAACCTCACAGGTTGTACTTCTTTTGGGCAGGTCACCACCTCCAGGCTCCCACTCTGCAGCTGAAGATCACAGATTTCTGGGTAGGGTCCCTGGCACACCAGTAGAACGTTGGTTTGTTTGTTTGTGCTGGGAATGGATCTCAGGGCACGGTAAAGACAAGGTCTGTCATCGGCTTGCTGGAGCCATGCATCACAGAGCAAGTTCCCTCATCAGCACGGCTCATCTGCACTGCAAACCGGCAGCACCACTTCCTGGGAACTTGTTAGAGATGCAAATTAGGGGCTCCCAACCCAGAGCCACACAACCAGAAACTCTAGGAGTGGGCCCCACCACCTGGTGGAGTGTGTGGTGTACCTATGTATGTGGGGGTGGGTGGGTACTGTGTGTGTATATGTGGAGGCCAGAAGTTGCGATCTTCAGCTGCTCTCCGCCTTATCATTATTGCTGTGGCTGTTATTTGACAGGTCTCTCACTGAAAGCCAAAGCTTACTAATATGGTTAGGTTGCCTGGAGCTCACTGATTTGACCTGGCGGGCTGGCCAGAGAGCTCCTGTGGTCCTCTTGAGTCTGCCTCTCCAATGCTGGGATTACAAGCATGCACAACCCCTTCCTGGCTTTGTATGTGGGGGCTGGGTCCTTGTGCTTGCATGGCAAGTACTCTGTCAACTGAAGCATCTCCCCAGCCCAATTTAAGGGTGATTGTGATGCACCCTAAAGGTTGACAGACAGTACAATGCAGCAGTAATCCTGGGCACACAGAGACTGGCTCAGTTTGCCCTTCCTATACAACACATTGATTGCCCAGGCTACCCCTCCCTACCTTTTACTGGCATCTCTAACTTCCTCCATCTTTTTACGTCAGCCATGGGCAGAGGTGCTTCCCTGGGTTGTGGGTTTCCGATTTGTTGCGAGCGAGTCTTGCCCACTTCTCGGCAACTCTGTGCAGCCCAGAACTTACTAGAGGAGTCTTTGTTTGGGAAACGAGTCCTGAGGCTGTTGTAGAGTTCAGTTTCCTCCTGTCCAAGGCTGTCGTGATGGCATCAGCTCTTCCCAGGTCCCCCTCACAGTGTTTTCCTTTGGGAGTATCCATCCTTTCCTGGGCTGAGAGGGAGGGAACATGTCTGGTCTCCTTCACTTACACTGGCTTCTCTGGACATTGCCCCCCCATTTCTACTCCTGTTATGTTCGAGTAAAACCCTTTGAACATGTTGCTGCATCTGCAGTCAGGAAGCTCTGTCCTGCTGCTCCTTGTTCATCGATAATCCTGTGAGTGGCGCTGTCAAGAACTGTGCACTGTTTCCATGACTTCCTCCTTACATCAGCCCAAGGGGGACGGGGCACCGTACTTACAGCGTGAATGGAGCCTAGGAAAACTGAGGCCTGAACAGCATCATGAACATATGGCAAGGCCAGGGCTTTGTGGATTTTGGGGAAGGGGGGCAACCCCGGTGAAGGTCTGGGTGTGTATAGATTAGAAGTGTTTGGATGAGAGAATACTCAGAACTACCATAACGAAATTACCTGACGGCCCTGTCCTGAGTTCCTGCTCGGTACCATGGGTCTGAGAGGGACCCAGTGCTTTAGAGCCTCACCTTCCACCTTATGAAGGCACGCAGGCGTCACGATGTACCTTCAGCATGTCCCGGGCCCATGTTTTCAAATGGTGCTTCCCAACCCCTTGAGGACTTGGGCAAGAGGGTTAAACATGTACTGGGGGGATGACCATATCGAACCCTGGGGTCACCCTTGCTAAGCTAGACCATCCCTCTTACCCATGTCACCTCTTGGGCTTCTGAATAAAGCTGCACTTGAAGCCAGGGTTTCAGTGGTGAAGAGCTGGGACAGCCCGTTATAGAGGGATATCCCAGCACTCGAGAGGCTGAAGGAGGAATATCAGCGTGGGTTTGAGACCAGCCTGGGCTACATTGTGAGACTCTATCTCAAAAAGCCAAAACAGGTCAGGTAGAGTGGCTGATGCCTGTGATCCCAGAACATGGGACGGTAAAGCTGAAGGATGACTGGGAATCAAGGGCAGTCTGAGTACAGACACACGCAATAGGGACAGACAGAAGAGCTGGGGCTCATAGTAGCATGCTCTGTGCCTGCTGCTTCCTTCCCTAGGATCTAAGCCCGGGAAGAGCTCACTGGAGAGTCTCAGAAAAGGCGGGCCAGCCAGAAGGGCAGGTGGAAAATGCATGCACGGTGACTTCTCTGTCATGTCAGTGTGTAGGTCTCCCACCCCCTTCCCGGTGGGGGAAAGGCCTCGGGTGAGTTGAGCAAGACTGTTGCAGTCAGGATGATGCAAGGGGGCTCTCTGTACACATTGCAACAGAACATTCTAAAAAGGGGCCTGGAGCTACTTTGATGCTGTTTCTCCAGGGAATCAGCTCAAGGCGACTCAGCTGTCAGTCAGACCTGCCGCACAAGACAGGCCCACAGGCCTCTACTGAGCTCCCTGAGGGAGTGTGTGCTCTTGGCTGTGGTTTGCAACCCAGAGTCTCCTTCACTTAGCCCCTTCCCTTCCTCTGCACTCTACCCATGTCACCCAGTCTTGGAGATCCCCAGCCTTGGCATACCTCAAAACACCCTTCTTGGTCCTTACGCTACATTTTGTTCCAGCTGTGTCACCATTATTCACTCCTCCACCCCCCATCCCTACCACCAACATCGCCAACATCACCCACGTCCCTTTCATGCACGACCGGTACTTCTGCCTCATGGCAGGCTCTCCATGGGGAAAGATAAAGATGGAGGCAGTGGATGTTACCGGCCAGATGAAGGACAAGAGCTAGGGATCTGACTGGGCACTGGAGGGGACAAGGGTCTTCCCAGGGCCAGGGGCCGCACACCTACCATTCACTCTCAGCCCTAGTCTCCGTCTTTGTCTGTTCTGCACTTCCCAGGTGCTCAGCATGGCTGACATCAAGGGGCCTGCATCACTCTCTGGGTGGAAGGAAGCCCCGACATTAGCCTTGCTGGAGGAAGGGAAGGGCGGGGACTAACCCTGCCAGGTTACCACGGGGTGCCTTTGCCCCGAGCTCCTACTGGGCAGCCTTCTCCCCGTAGCTCCCACTCTGTAGGGCTTTCTCCTTTGCTTCTTCTGTCCACCGGCCTTAAATGTTAATAGTTTTGGAGAAGGTCTCCCATATTCATGCCCACATCATTGAAAACAGTCTTTGTATTAAACGTTCCTCATATTACCCAATTTGAGCAGGCCGTTCCCTGCAGGGAATTTAATTTAAGGCAGGGGTGATCAGGAAGGATGCCATGAAGGGGACAGCTAAAGGTGTGCTTGTTAGTGATCTTTCAGGGCATAAAAGTGAGCATGCCTCCCCTCTGCAAAACCCTCCATGGCTCCTCATTGCTCTGAGGACAAAGTCCACATTCTATAGCCTGGGAATCGATACTGCACCCTCTCTGGCCCCTAATGACCAAGTGGCATGTAGGGATGTCTACTGGAAGGAGGACAGTGAAGGGTTTAGAAATGGGAGGAAGGAAACCCAGGAGGGTGCAGCCCTGCTGCAAACCCAGGAGGGTACAGCCCTGCCACATAGCAGCTCCAGCTGGCAACTTCCTGCCTAGGGAAGGAGATGGGTGAGTTCTGAGCCAGTGAGCCATGCCAGGCTGCCTTCTCCTTGCCCAAACCTCTGCCCTCCTTCTCTCTGCAAGCGAGGTGAGCCCGTCCTGAGTTGAACCTCAAAGGCCTTAGCCGTGGGTGTGAGACTGATCAAATCCTACTCAATCCCTGACATCCATCATCTCCCTGAGATTTAGTCTTTTCAACTACAAAATGGGAATAGCCAACCTCACAGGCTGTGGGAGATGCTTAAAGGGGGTGATGGGTGATGAACCCTTTCACCCAAGAGTTCTGTGTTCAAGGTGGGTCCTCTTCCAGGTAGTTGGGCTGGGAAAACGTGTTGCCGGCTGGAGAGGCTGGGCTGTGAATTCCAGCTTGCCCACAGGCTGAGCAACTCTTGTCTGAAATGCTAGGAACCAGAAGCACTTCAGATTTTGAATTAGGGAGGTTCCGCCTGTGTACGTTTACTGTGCGGCACTGGTCATTTCTCTTTGCCTCTCGGCACCCCAAACGCAGAGCAGAGTGGTAATCACTCCTGCAGTGGTTGTGAGGATGGACAGACAGGATGCCATCAGCTGGGGCCTAGCACAGAGCAGGGTGCTTGGCAAATCCTCTCTGCCTTGTGAACCTCTTCTAGGTGATGGAGGGGATAAGGTTCCCAGCCAGTCTGTACACAGAGTCAGAGAAACACTAGGGCACGTACACAGTTCCTAACGGCAACCGGTCAGGCGGTGGTGGCGCACGCCTTTGATCCCAGCACTTGGGAGGCAGAGGCAGGTAGATCTCTGTGAGTTCGAGGCCAGCCTGAGCTGCAGATCAAGTTCCAGGACAGCCAGGGCTGTTACACAGAGAAACCCCATCTGAGTGGCGGGAGAGGGAGGAACCTGACACTAGTGACTGTATGGAGCATGAAGACTGAGCACTTAGGAAAGGCCACCCTGGCCGAGCCCTTCTTGGATATGTGACTTGACCTGTCTCCGGCTGTTCAAAGTGTTCGTGAGCCGGGATGTGTGGCGGAGAAGGAAAGATGACACAGGTCTAGAACACATCCTAGAGCTGACCTGTTTGTCCTTGTGAAGAGCAGGCAGGCTACCACAAAATTCTAGGGGTGTTTAGATGTGTGGAGAGGAAACCAGAAGTCACTAGCTGCTGTGAACCCCAACACTCACCTTCCTGCAGAGGAGAAATTCAAACCAGTGTTCTCTCTTTTTATTTTAATTTTATGTGTACGGATGTTTGCCTTCATGTATGTCTGTGCACCATGTACATTCCTGGTAACCACTGAGGCCAGAAGAGTGGGTCTGATTCCCACTGGGACTGTAGTTAGGAACAGTTGTGGGCTGTCACATGGATGCCGGGAATTGAACCTGGGTCCTCTGTAAGATCAGCTGACACTCTTAACTTGCTAAGCCGTCTCTCCAGACACACAATGTCTTCCTTTTAATGTTCTAACTGTGGGTCTGATTTTCCATCCAAATCCATTCTGAACCAATGTACATAGGCAGTGGGCATAGACATAGAGGCTGGATATTAAGGGAGCTCTTGGACTTCCTCTGTAGCCCTTGGTACATGTTCCCACATATGAAGGGTCTAAACTAGGGATTAGATTTTTTTTTTTTTCAAGACAGGTTTTGTCTGTTTAGCCCTGGCTGTCCTGAAACTCTGTAGACCAGGCTGGCCTCAAACCCAGACATCTGCCTGCCTCTGCGCCCCCCCCCCCCCCCCGCCCCCAAGTGCTGGGATTAAAGGTGTGCACCAGCACTGCCAGGTATTTGGGACTAGATTTTATGGCCCTGTTTCCCAACCTTCCACCTATACACTGCCAGCCCAGTCTATCTGGCTAACCCATCATTTTATCCAGGACCTCACACCCTTCTCTTGCTCTATACGGCACAGGATGAAGCCAGATCCCAGTGCTGAACCACGAGGTCCCCCAGTTTCGGCTCCTGCTGTCAACTTTTCCACTTCACTTCCTCCCTTCTTCCTGCTTTGCCATCTGTCTCCTTTTGCCAGCCATGCCAGGGTCCCACTCCTAGCCCTCTGCCCATGCTGGAACCTGAATAGACGCCCTTCCTCCCTGATCAACCGAACCAGACTCACCTCCTATCCAGCAGCAGCAATATTGCCGCCTCTTTCCCAATCCCCATCCCCTGACTACTGCACATCACTGTTCGCTGAGCCTCTTGGCTAAGTCAAACTCCCAGTGGGCACAGACCAAGGGCTCCTGAGCTTGGGTAGAGTCCAAGCTCAGTGGAGACAGGCGGTGGCGGCCAGGAGGGAAGGGCTGACCTTGGCCTGGCCTTCATGTTTCCCAGCCCCACAGCCTGGGCATCCTTTGGCCACTGGTCTCACCTCTTCGCTGGGTCTCCCCAACTGCACAGACTAGGTCTGATTCTGGGTGTTCCAATCAGTACCTGGCCCAGAGAAGGTGCACAGAAAAATGCTGAAGTCCACAAACTCGGGATCTGAATGTTTCCAATGGGCCTTGTTTACTCAATGTCTTGCCATTCGTTATCGTTGAGATAATGATATCTCACTCTCATTGCATAATGGTAACACCCCTCCATGCTATTTTAGTTGATCCATAAGCACTTAAGTACAGTCCATAAGATAGGACCTGTCCCCCTTTTCTTTCCATGGCCCTCCTTCCCTCCCTCCTCCTATTTCTTTTTCGAGACAGGGTTTCATGTAGCTCAGGCTAGTTTCCAACTCACTATGTAGTCAAGGATAACCTTGAACTCCTGGAGGCTTCCTCCTCACGTGCAAAGTGCTTGGATTATATAACAGGTGTGCACAACTATGCCTGGCTTCCCACCTCCACTTTGTGATGAACAACTAGTGACTTACCTAAGGACACTTGACAAGTCACTGATGGAGGGGAGACCATACCTCAGGCCTAGAGCTTGCCAGCTTAATCTCTGCCCATTACACAGTATTAGAGTGATTGAGCCATGGGTCCCAGCACAAGGCCTCCTCCACAGAGATACTTCTAGAGAAAAGGAATACGCAATACAGTGACTCGGTGTCTTCCATGTCAACACGAGATTGTGTGTGTGTGTGTGTGTGTGTGTGTGTGTGTGTGTGTGTGTGTGTGAGTGTGTGTGTGTGTGTTGCAAAGTTCTGAACCCAGAGCCTCAAGCATTCCAGACAGCCAGCAGGAAGGAGGCTTGCCTCCAATAATCCACTGGTACTATATATAGTACCATACAGCTGAACTCTTCTTTACCCCCAAATACGCTCCTGCTCTCTCCTCACAGTAGTCACATAGCATATGTCTATCCGAGTCTCCTGAGGACGTGGGATGCCACTAACTAGCCTTCCCCCATTCCCTAAAAGGTTCCAGCTCTAATGCAGAGCATCAACACACGATGACCCTTCTGCCCTGGGATATTTTCCTTCTACTCCTGGTTGACTCAGTTCTCAGGGTTTGGTAGCATTTTCTCATGAGATTTGTGATCCACCCACCCACCAAGTCTTTGAAGGAGTTAAACAAATGCAAGTGTTTTAGGATTCACTAATGGCATTTGTCACGTGTCCTTTCCTGCTTCCCTCTTCTGTTAGAACTCACCTTTCTTTTCCTCTCTCCAAGGCGAAGGCCATGGGCCCCAGGGCTTACGTGTGGCCGGCAAGGGTCCTCGGCTTTTTTTTTCTGCAGGGCATTGTCTTTGCTTGAGGTTCTTCCTCTCTCACCCAGCTCCCTCCCACAGCCTGTCCCCCTGTCCTCAGGCTGTCTAGAGGGCTCCTAGAATTCACTCCACTGCTACCATTTCCTTCATTAAGGTTCTTCCAAGAACCCAGTCCCTCCCACCCCCAGGTCTGGAGAGATGAGACACTCGAGGATCTCCTAAGACCAAGCTCCAGCCCAGGTCACTGCAGCCTCACGGTTGCCTGGACTACAAATCATGACTCCAAACATGCTGACTCTTCAGACATTACGCCTGGCCTTCTGCTTGCCCTCACGCTCTCATTCTGTAAAAACTCCTACTCAGTCGTGGGCAGTGGAAAGAGTTCCTATCCTTAAGTGCCAGTAACGAGCTGAGTGCCTTTCATACCTCACCTCCTTAGTTCCCAAAGCATCTGTTGTTTGTTCCCATTTTACAGACATGAAAATTGAAGTTGAAAACCAAGGGCGGTGGCACTTGCCTTTAATCCCAGCACTCAGATGCAGAGGCTGGTGGATCTTTGAATTCAAGGCCAGCCTGTTCTCCAGGGCAGCCATGGCTACATAGAGAAACCCTGTCTCAATAAAGCAAAAAACAAAAACCAACAAGAAAGTAACAAAAAAACCCTGAAGTTGAGGGAAAGAGGGCGGCTATTAGACTTAAAGGGCATCACTATGTTCCATAGTATTGCCTCTATTGCCTCTCTGTCCCTGGTGTTTTGAGACAGGGTCTCACTGTGTAGCTCAGGCTGGCGTCAAACACACACACACACACACACACACACACACACACACACACACACACACACACCTACTAGTAGACTCATCTCATCGCTCCAGAATGGTCCTAATAAAAGGAAAGGCAGGGGTACGTTTGAGACAGGGTCTCACTGTGTAGCTCAGGCTGGCGTCAAACACACACACACACACTCACACACACACACACACACACATCCCTACTAGTAGACTCATCTCATCGCTCCAGAATGGTCCTAATAAAAGGAAAGGCAGGGGCACGTGGGGCGATTGTGAAGCACAGCTGTAACCTAACTAATCCCAACACTACTGACCGCAGGCAAAGCCTGCCCTTCTGCAGCCAAAGGAAAGCGGAGACAAGTAAGAACACAGGCACCCACACGCTCCCCATCGTCCTGCACGTGCTCAATTTCCCGGCCCACGTTCCAGCTGTTGGACTGTACCAATGTCTACAAGGGAGGAAAAGGGAGGAAGACCAGGCGGCCGCCGGAACAACCAGACGTGCTTTCACGCACCGGTACTATAGCTCCCTTTGTCGTACTCACTAGCACTCTGTTCCGCACTGGTCAGGCCATAGCGCTGTCCTGTGCTTTGCACGTAGCCTGGTCCCGGGAGCCTCACCCCCCGCGCCAGAATATGGTGTGGTCCGAGGCGGAGCCTTCAGCCCCGCCCTATTACGTCACGACACGCCCCGTTGTGAGGTTATAAAGTGCGCGCGCGGCGGCGCTAGGCGCCGTGGCCGCGCTTCGCTAGCTTTTCGGCTTACCTAGGGTGGCAGCGGCTGCCTGCCTCGGCTCTGGTGCTGTTGCCGCCACGGCCTGGGCGCTGTTCCCCGGCTCCCGGAGCTCAGCGCGAAGCCCTGGCCCCGGCGGCCGGGGCATGGGCCAGGGGCGCGACGTGAGGCGGCTTTCTGCACGGCCGTGACGTGCACCGGCTTCAGCATGAAGACTCTCATCGCCGCCTACTCCGGAGTCCTGCGGGGTGAGCGTCGGGCCGAAGCTGCCCGCAGCGAGAACAAGAATGGAGGATCTACCCTGTCACGCGAGGGGTCTGGGCGATGGGGTGAGTGTCAGTCACCCCCAGGGGCTTTCATCCTAGGGGTATCCACGGCAAAGACGACTTCAGGAAGGGACTCTGGCTAAGGCGTGCTTCTCTGTACTGGACGGCTAGCCACTTCAGATTGCTGTCCCAGACAACTAACTACTTGCAGTTTGTAAAAAGGTCTCACCTCATAGCACAGGATGTCTTCCAACTCGGAATCCTTCTGCCTCAGCATGTGTGTGTGTGTGTGTGTAGGTCTCACCTCATAGCACAGGATGTCTTCCAACTCGGAATCCTTCTGCCTCAGCATCCCAAATGCTGTGATTGCAGGTGTGTGCCACCACAACTGGCTTCTCTTTGAGGGAACCCGACTCTGTGCATCCTGTCATTTTTGTCTGGGGTGAGGGTTACCAGTCTGAGCCAGGCAGCCTAGTCTGGTTATCCAGTTTGAGCCAGGCACCCTGGTATCCTAGTCAAGCCTGGGTTCATTCTCCATCCTGGTACTCACCAGTGTTGCAACATGTGTTACATCACTTCCCATCCCCCAGCTGATGGGGCGACACCACCCACTCTCCCCAGTGATTAGTGATATTTCACTCTTCAGCCCCCAGTACTGTTCTTTCTCATAAGGTGGAGCAGAATTTGGCTGGGAGTAACTGGATGGAGCAGAGTGTAAGGGTTTTGCAATCCCCTGAAACAGCCACTGGATGGAGGACATGCCTACCTCGAACAGGTGTGCCCCAGCTTATGTGTGCCAACCCAGACTGTGGAGCCCACGAAACAGCAACCCTGAGTGTGACGTGCTTAGAAGTGGGGTGGGAGACCCTTGGCTTCAGTTGTCTTCACTGTCTTTAAAAAAAAAAACAAAAACAAAAAAAAAACCCGGGTTTCTCTGTGTGTGGCTCTGGCTGTCCTGGAACTCGCTTTGTAGGCAAGGCTGGCCTCGAATTCACAGAGAACCACTGGACTTGGTTTTCCGTCTTGAAGGTCCATCAAGGGAGGAATGAGGCCTTCAGTGAACTAGGGGCAGCATTAAAAAATCACACCACAGCTTTTCCATACAAGGCAAAGTGTCCCACACTCCTTAGCTGTAGTTGGAGAAACTGAGGGAGGAAGAGCATGCTACTCAAGGTTTCCTTATCAGGGCAGTGGGACACCCTGGAGGCAGACTGGTCTGGTCAATAGAGAGTTCCCGTTTATGGGAACTTGGAATTCTGGGAATCTTAAAGTACAGGTAATCAGAAAGCACATAAGGTTAATCAGCGTTCTGGTGGTTACTTCTATGAGTACGTATTATATAAGTCAGGAACATGCTATAGATAACAGTCCTGAATCCAGTTTTGTCTTAATAGTAAATCATGAATGTTTCTTGCCATTTGTCAAAATCATTTCTCTAGTGCTGGTGGCTGCCAGGTAACCCACGCTGGGGCTCCGTCACAGTCTATCCAGTGACATTGCCCTTAGTCCTAGTTGACTGTGTGTGGTTATCCGCCCCTGGAGAAGTACTGAACTGTTGCCATCCGAGGGGCAAGCAGCGTGGGCCGCCCCACGTACCGGCCTATAGTATCTACTGTCTTCTCTCAGAATGCTCTCTTCACTGTGCTCTTGTGATGCCCTGAATAGGGAAGTGACCTGCCTACATTCACGCTTTTAAAATGTTCTCATGGCAGGGTAATGGGATGGGTCTGCTGTCTGTCTGCTGTGGTCCCTTTGGAGATAGATACCCTTCCTGGGCTCTCCTCTGTCTTCCAGGGGCAGGAAGTCTGTTAAATACATGTTTTTGACAGATTTTTTTTTTTAAACTCAGGGAGATTTGTACTCCCAATCAGATGATTTTTATCAGGTCTTTACCATCAATAGTGGAAGAATTTCCCCAAGTTGTCCAACCTTGAAAATACAATGGGTGGGTGTACTTATCTCATAGATTGTCACAAGGACTAAGGTGAAATGCAAACTAGTCAGTTTAGCTCTCTGGGATCTACTTTGGTGAAAGACTAGGTGGGGTAAGGGAGGGTGCGCAAGCAAATTTTATGTTATCTTGACATCTCTCAGAGGCCTCCTGTACCTCCTTGGTCCTTTGAGACACTCCCTAGTGGCCTAGTTTGCCTCAGATCTGTTCCCACTGAACACCCTGTTAGTGGCAGTGTTCAAGGAAGGAGCGAGCATGGAGTCTGTGAAGGGAAGTTCCGTGAGGGGTGAGCAACCACATAGCTAACTTGGTGACTGCTGTTATGTTGAAGCTTGGGTGGTGTGCCTTGGTCGGGAGAAAGGGGTCTTGGGTATTTTTTTTCTTTCCTTTGACTTAGGATAGGGTTTCTCTGTGCATTGCTGGCTGACTCGGAACTCACTCTGTAGCCCAGGCTGGCCCGAACTCAGAGGACCCCTACCTTCCTCCTGAGTGCTGGGATCAGAGGTGTGCACCACCGCTCCTGGCTTGCGGTGTTTTCTAATCTCTGAAAGACTGCCTTGGACTATGTCTTGGAAGCTATAGTTAAATCCATGTCTTTGCCCTTGGATGGGAGCTTTTCATGGTAGAACCCTTGAATGCTTATGGGTTCAGAACCCAGCATGAGGTAGTACAGTACAGTTCTGAGCTGGTACATTGTGTGGCCCCAATGCCTAGGACAGGGGTAGAATCATAGTTTGGGTTTTAATAGAAGAATCCCAACAGCTATTGATGACTGCATAGCCTGGATGGTGGAGATGGAGCTCCCCATTCCTGGGAATATGCCAGGAGGAGTCAGATTGTTGGGGTAACTCTGGGACTGAGGGTTGGCAATCATCATCTGTGCCCACAGAATGAAAACCTCATTCCTGTCCTTACTCCCTCAATTCTGCAGAGACTGCTGTTGAGTTAGCTCTGTGCCAAAGACTCATCTAAGCTTGGCAAGGAGGGCCAAGTATAATGCTTTATTAGCAGGTGACTCAGTGGCAAGTGTGGAAATTCTGCCCCACCTCCTCCCTCCCCCTCCTAAATTCAGTAGCAAGTACTTGGGTTAGCTGAGTGGTGGCGCACGCCTTTAATCCTAGCACTCGGGAGGCAGAGGCAGGTGGATCTCAGTGAGTTTGAGGCCAGCCTGGTCTACAAAGCGAGTTCCAGGACAGCCTGGAGTGTTACACAGAGAAACCCTATCTTGAAAAACAAAACAAAACAAACAAAAACAACAGTTACCCATTGGTGCTGGGTCTAGCCCAACCTTCATAGTACAGATGAGAAACTGAGGTCCCTAAAAGAACCAGTCCAGGGTTGTGAAAGACACACTAGAACCCTGATCCATCTCGGTCGGTCCTATTGGCCTCCTTAAGGCAGAGAGGTGTGGGGACAGCAACACTGAGAACTGACCAGCATGTGTGCTATGCAGTAGCCAAATGAGTGCCGATTGCTTCCTTACTCCATCATGGGGGATGGTGGCTCCTTCCCCAGCTTTTTGAGGAAGGTCCCCTAAGCTTAGTGGATAGGGTTACCAACAGCTCACAGAACTTTGTCTGGCTAGATGAATTGCCCCCCCACCCCAAGTACTTCAAACTTCAGATCCTATGAGGCTCCTGGCCACCTCCTACCACCTCGTAACCTCCTGGCCACCATTCATGTGCTAGTAGTGGTCTTTCTGAGCCTCCATCGCTGTCTATAATTCAGTTCTCTCTCGGTGTCTCTGCACTTGCTTACCCTTCCCAGATCTTGGCATGCCTATCCAGATTGTCACCCTATCCTCTAGTTCCCAGATTTTTTGTAGCCCTTATCATTACCTAGTTGTCAAATGTACTTACCGTTTGGGTGATTGTCAGCCCTTGGTGACAGGACCTCATTTGTCCTCCTTAGTGTTGTGTTCCTAGCATCTAACATAATGCAGGCAGGCAGGGGGGACCCTGTAGATGTTTGTTGAACGAATGAATCACTAGTGGGACTTCCCAAGTCCTCTTGGCAGGGAGTCCTGCCTTTAGTTTCCTGGTAATTCTGAAGTTGTCCCCAGGCCTCTGCCTGTATGTGCTGAGTGCCCTAGAGATACGCAGTCTGGTTAAGAGCTGCCTTGAGGGCTGAGTGCCAAGTGGGTAGAGCCAGGTGAACCCTGATCCCTACGTGGTTCCAGACTAGAAGGCCAAAGCCAGGATTCCTGCCCTGCCTTTCTTCTCTGGGGTCCGATGGGTTCACTGCCTCTGGGGATTTCGTTTTCCTGTTTTGAAATAGACTCAAAGCCGGGTGTAGTGGTACACTCAGGCAGAGGCAGGCAGATCTCCGAGTTCCAGGATAGGCAAGGCTGCACAGAAAAACCGTCTCAAGCAAACAAACCAAAACAAGAAAAAAGAAATAGATTCAGACATCTCAGAATTAGCATCTGAGGATTTGAGTTAAGGCGAGTGGGAAGTGTTTTGTTAATTGATTTGTGAGGGAGCCCCCCCCTTTTTCTTTGTAAGTCATTCAGGAAGTCCCAACGCTGTAGACAGAGGGTCAGTGGGGTCCTTAGCAGTCATGTTATGGTCTGGATTGTAACTCC